GGCTTCTATCTTTTTTTTTTTTTTTTTTTTTTTAAAAAAAGAAAAACCAAAGTTGAGTTTAAAGGGACATTGTTTCCAGTATCGATCGGAGCACGAAAATGTCTTCCACCGGTAAACAATCATTTAGTTTTTAAGTGTTAAAAAATATACTATGCACATTTTTCATGACAGTCAGGAAATATGTTTTCTGCTGAACAGGTTCAGTTTTTGACAATACAGGTTGTTTCGTAAGTGCCATTTTTGACATATATCCTTAAAAATAAATAAGATCAAAATTATGTACACCTTAGAGATCAGAAACTGATAACAAAGAGAGGAAAAATGCAAAAATTTGATCGAAATATAACAACCCCTATTTAATTTTATAACCGTCGTTGAAAAGCAGACCCAAAAGAAAGTTTACAGCTATCAATGTTTAACTCTGTAGCCTTGTAATTTTGAACCCAATCCAACAGGCAAGACAACTCCTGGATCAGTACCCGAAAAAAAAAATGCCAATTTGGAGGACTTTGTGAGCACGACATATTTAACGTGCACCAGTCACAATCTAATGCACCGGGATTCTTCGACTGGATTCGAACTACTGTTCTCACGAACAAACAGTCTCCCCCATTCTAACTGGCCTTGAGGTTTCTAAACTCGTCATCCTCAATAATGATTCGTCAGATTTTTTTCTCATATTTTTAGCTATAAAACACATTTTTATTTGTGTCCAAAACAAAACAAAAATTAAAAAAGAACTCCTAATTTTCTTCCAATTCGTTTAAAAATTTAACTGAACGCATTTAACCTATATAGCAGGGGTAGCCAAGCTCCTTGATAGTCGAGTCATTTTTCAAAATTCGAAATTTTTTGCGAGCCGCAATTAAAACCGTAATTAAAAGATACGCAAAAAAGGTATTAAAATTATTTTTGCAGAAATTATATTTATTGAAAACATAATTAAAAGTACAAAGTATGTGTATGGAATTCAGATATTAAAAATTAAACACATTTATTTTACTTCTCCTGATAATTCTTTAAAATTCGACAAGCAGCCTTTTTTAATTCAGGATACTTCGATTCTGGTACAAATTTCTAAAATTCAGTAATCGACGTCGACTTATATTTAAATTGTAGAGCTTGATCTTCTTGCATCTCTATTAATTCTAATTCTCTAGATACTTTTTGGGTCATAATTACATTGGAAATGGCAAACTCACCTTGAGTTATGATAATTTCAAATGGATTCTTAAAATCTATTTTGGAATTCGGTCAATATTCCTTCTAGTTTTTTTATATACTCGTTGAGTTTTTCGTGTTTAATATTGGAGCAAATTTTTTTAATTCGAGGAAAATGACAAAATGTTTTATTTTTCATGACTTTTTGAAAAAATTGTAATTTAGTTTGAAAACTAAATATACACTGTGAGAAGCCAGATATTATTTTATCTTTTCCCTGCAATTGTAAATTCAGTGTTTGCCAGTAATATTTGTTGTCAGTAATTTAAGACATTTTGAAAAATATACGGAACGATAATAGTTTAATTTTTTAAAATATAATAGCACAAAATTAAAAGGGAACTCTGGTGCATTTATCGAGAGACGCAGGTTGGCCACCACTGATATATAATGTTAGGCCGATCTACTTTTCTGCAAAATAAATCCGAATAATTAAACACTTTGGCTAAAAGTTTTTTGTTTGTTATTGTTTCAGGAAAAAGAAACCGTACTCCATTGGACGCTAGGCACAAACAGGTTAATAGGAAAACAATTCCGAAAATGTTGCAAAACTGGACATGCAGGAATTCATTGAATCTCGGCTATCAGGGTTTTACACAGATGCCAACTGCGCCAAATATTTTAAAAAACGGTAGAAAATTACAAAAATTAAAGTCTGCAGATTTTCAGTTAATTTTGCCAACTTTTTAAAAGGTTATTCACGACTTAAATGTCTTGTCTTGCTTTTGAATCTGGGAGCCTGAGCCGCGAAGCGTCCCCTACCCCATTCATCGTGTAGTATTTGTCATTTTGTTTGGTTTCATTGAGGTTATTAACAGGCAATGTGGTTGCTGTCAGGGTGATTCTAGCACTTTGCTTGAATAAATAATAATAATGAATATGAAACGAAGCAGCTTGCTCCAAACTATGTGTGACTTGAGTTTTGGATGCTGGTTGATGGTCAACGTGAGGAAACGCTTGATAGAACTTTCAATATTGTAGTTGTTGAAGCTGATATTATAGGTGGATCTGTGATTTAAGAAATTTGTTAAAGTTTTTATTTATTTTGATGATTGTGATCTGAGGCGTCGGATGTAAAGTGAGCGGCTATTGGTCAGTATTTTACGACTTAAATGTGAATAAGTAGAGCTACACTTAAGTCTGGGAATTATTTAGAAGAATGGTGAATAAAAACCTTATAAATCTACTTTACTAAACCAAGAATCATATATTAAAGGACTTATACTTGAATATATTTCATACCTGCCAACTCTTGTGGATTTTCCGGAAAATTTTATTTTCATATTTAAAGTGGTACCAATACTCAGGTTATTCCAATTAATTTTTTGAATTATAATGATAATTATAAATGAGTTTGACCACCACTACATATATATAATTACAATAAATATATCAAAGAATGATAATCATAGGTATATTTACATCACTTATATAAGACCCATTATTACATACGCGTCACCTGCCTGGTGTAATATCAATAAAGCTCAAACCAAAAAACTTAACGTCTTTCAAAATAAAATCCTAAGAAAACTCAGCTGAGTTCCATATTTTATCCGTAATAATGCTATCCACAACGATTTTAAACTCAATACAATGTCAGAAATCCTAACTGCCCTTAATATAAATTTCTTTAATAAAGCAATTAAGTGTAATGCTGCTAAATACAAAAGTATTTTTAATTCTGATATGTTAATGGAAGATACTAAAATCAGACCACTAGCCCACTTCTTCACAAGTGACGCTATACTCTCAAGTAAATTCAATCAAAATCCATTGTAAATTTATATTAGAGGCCTTCTAAAGGGCCAAAAAACTCTCATTTTCTATCTTACTCAATATGCCCTTAAAAAAGGCCAAAAAACTCTCATTTTCTATATTACTTTAAATGCCCTAAAAAGGGCCAGATATTTATACTTTAGTTCATCAAATATCCGCTAGCAAAGATAGGCGCTGCCAGCGCCAATATTTCAGTACATCCCACAGGGCATTAGCCCCGCCCACTATGATCAAAGCTAGGCCAATTATATCCACCCAATTCTACAACCCAGATCTTAAAAGCTTTTTCATTTTTATTTCTTTCTCTTCATGTACCCAACTCATGATACTTAGCTCAAGACTTCAATTCATATGGAAAGGTAAAAGGCCCCTACGGGGCCTAAACGCCTTGACAAAATAGCGACGACGACGATCGTGCAAGCGAATTTCAACGGGATCAAAATATAAATATATTTGTGAGTCAGACTGTTTTTCGTTTATTGTTTTACATCCACTCTGAAAATCCATTATCGGAAAGAGTGAAAGTTGGCAGGTATGTTATCCGTTGTTCTGAGCAAGTTGGCATCTCCGTTTTTATCACACTGCCTCTGACATAGCAAAAATGTAGAGAAAATATTGGGTGCATGCTTTAATAAATGAAATAGTTCTTTATGACTGTTAGCTGTGAACACATTTTTGAAATTTCGGCAATCCATACAAAAGTTTAAAAAGTGGTAGCATAGCCACCTATTTGCGCTCTGTTTATCAAAGAAATTATCCATTCGTGATTTCCACAAACATAAATGTTTCAGTATATATGTAAAAGTATTACAATCGTTCGTCGTAATTTTTTTTTAATTGAAGTTGTAGCTATAATGACAAGTTTGCTCCAGGTTTTATGAAACCTCGCCAACTACTTTCTTAATCTGTAATACATTTTTTTGGAAAAATTGTCTGCATGCACTGTGATAAATAACTTTTTTATTATCTTCACACTGACGGCTTGACAAAAGGCATTGTAATCTGGTAAATCCTCAAAATACTGCATAAAAAAAAGAAATTTGTAATATTTAAGCACCAGTTTTTTTAACAAAATCTATGTTATTAATAAAAACACTTTACGGTCTTCCATTCTTCGTTTCTTGTATTCCTAATTAAAAACGCTGGCTCCGTAGCTCAGCAAGTTTTTGAAATCAAGAGAAGCAACATTGCATGTTGATAGGAATGAATATTCGCGATCGCAACGAACATTGGGGGGGGGGGCGTTGTTGTATGAGATAATACCTGCGATTTAGATATGAACAGTCACTCATTTACTCCGGAGATGTCTTTAATGTAGCGTGTAACATTGTAACGTTCCTTCTTTATCGTGGTTTATTAAATTTAAAAAAGAAAAATGTTTGATATCATTTCTTATGCAAACGAAAACAAGATGGTATCTCTTTCTTTTTAAAGAAGGAACGTACAAAACACATATGAAAAATATTTGTACATAAACAGAAAAAAATAAGTATATTCTTATAAGAGTTAAAACCTAATGCCCGAGAAATAATTTTACTGAATTTAATGATATAACATGAAAGGCCTATTTAAACTTTACATTCCATAGATTAAAGAATCATATTACTTCAAAAATTAAAATGAACAAAAAGTATACATAAGCCTCATAATTTTATGAGATTTAATTTTGTAAAGAAAGTTTCTTGACAACAATTTTTATCAAAAAATTTCAAGTTTCAATAAAAATCATTATTTAGAAACTAAAAAATGTAAAATAAAGAATTCTGACGAAACAAAAACAAAAGAACAGTTCTTTTTTGTCATTTAGTGCTACGAAAATCCGTCTTTGGGATTTGCCAAAAACGAAACAAGATGCAATTTTATTTTTTCAGGAGCGAAATATTTTACCGAAAAAACGAAAATGTACCAATTCCCACGACATGAAACTTTATCTTGGTAAACGTACGTTTTGGAAATGTTATTTCATTTGGAATCTTATTTATCAGAGTTCATATGGCGATATGATTGTTTTGAATCTATGCTAAACTCTATATCGGCTCATTTTCCACCGAAATCCGATTGACTATTTTGATTTTAAATAAAGTGTTTTATTTTATGAATTGTCGCAAAAATTTTAAGTGTAGATTGGCGGCACTTAAAAACCGCCAAATCTGTAGCGGCGGTGGCGTTAATACGTAAGTACCGAATTTTTATTCCATACTTTTCTGAATCATATTACTTCAAACATTGGAATATACAAGAAGTATACATAAACACATAATGTTATACCATTTAATTTTTCAAAAAAAGTATTTTGAGAACAATTTTTATCAAAAAATTATAAACTAAAAAACGGAAAATAAAGAATTCTTAGGATAAAAAAAACGATTTTAAGAATTCTTAACATTGAAATAAAAACTTTCATATTGTTTCTTTTTTTATTATTCTTATAGTTCTTAATCAGACGTAAAAAACCATTCTGTAGAGAACCATCATCAAATGAAAAAAAAATATTTACAAGCAAATTTTTTATTGTAAAAATCATTGCACTTACCTGATTTATGATTCCCGGAGAATTCCAAAATGATAAGTTCCTTGTTTGAAAACTTTATTCTCAAATAATAGATACATAGTTTATACCTTCATTACTTTTAGATAACATACTACACAGCAAAATTTTATAATTGATATGAATTTGAATATGTAGCTAAAAACAGAATAGCTGAATTCTAGTTGAACTTATTCTTTCAAAACTAAAAAATACTTACCAAGAAAACGATTAAAATTAATTAAGAATCAGCACAAATGGCACTATTTCAAGTAACTTGGATAATTTTTTATTGTTGTTTTCCGAATTATATGGATACAGAAATATATACTATTCTATAACGAAGAAGAATATGCTATAACTATTACAATTCTGTATGTTCTGAATTCATATTTATTCACTGGAATGACGAAAGCAATGTTGACTTCACTTTAATTCGTAATGAATTGAAGACAGAAGAAATGCATTTTACCTTAATACACACATCTGTAACAGTATGCGATAGCGAAATCGGAAGTTATCAGTTGCAAGTTTGTTGATAATAGAAGTTTAAAATTATTGAGAAATTTTTCTTCAAATGTTCGGCGTGTTCTGGGTCTGAAAGATATTTCAATATTCTGGAGATTTTTTTCAAGTTCTTCGGCTTTTCCTAAGGGAAATTTTGATTTTTATTTGCTGCAAAGAAAATGGCGTCTGACTCTGCCAATGATTTTAATGGAACTAAATGAAAACGTGATAAATTAATGTCTGATATTTACAGGCTCCCGCTAGAGGGCGTACTCGAGCGTTGCGATCGCGAATTGAAATTGTTTTATTATTATCACATATGCGTGCTCATCACGAAGAAGGCTTATTAGCCCTTGTCGTAACGAGGAACATCAGAAAGATACAATCCAGGGTCACAGTAAGAAAGTAAAACTAAAGCGGTTAGCGTTTTCAGATCGGCAAGACCTCTCTGCCAGTGAGTCTCCATCCATATTTATTGTATTTCAAGCGTGCACTTCAACCCTTTTGAAGGCCGTGGTAAGTATACTTACCACCACGTTTTACCACTTTTAATTTAGATTTCCATTTTTCAATAACTTCAGCTTTCTCTAAGTGAGTTAGAATAAAATTGGTAACCATTTGTCACTTTTAAAAAACGTATAAAAGTTATAAAATACATAATTCCTTTTGAAGTTTGTAGCATTTAAGGAATTTATTTTATAAATAAAGAAAAATAAAAGTCAGTAAGTTCCTAATAGGTCATGTTAAATATATTTACCACCAAAAAAATGGCATTTTTATAAACTAAATGAGTTTTTTTTATATCAATTACTGTTCTTAAAACAATTTCAATTCCAAAAATACTTTAAATTACCTTTACTAGAAATAAAGGGCCCATTAAAGGGTTAAAATGGTTTTATTAAGAAAGAATTATTAACAATTGTTTCAGATTATAAATATAATTATTTCGTTTAGTTTACCGAGTTAAAAAGTGAAGTAGTAATTTTAAAAGCTTAATCTAATTATCAAAAAAACATTTTGTAGTGATGCAAAAACTGTATTGAAAAAAATTTTGGGAAATTAGCATTTGACCTCTTTGAGACGGGCGATACATTTTCTGGGTGAGGACAATAAGGTTAAAGGACATAAAATTGGCAGTCCAACCAGCATTTTATTTGTGGGTGAGGTAATAATAGTTTCATTTGTGTAATTCACCACTTCTAAGATCAAATTGAAAATCACTTAATTACACTTCGAACTAGCATTGATTGTATGCGTTAGAATCAAGGTGAAAAAATTCCGTCTGATTAGCCATGACCACATTTGAGATACAGCGTTTTAGTTTATTCCATCCAGATTCTGTGCGAATATATTTATGACTTCCCCGTCTCGAATGGGTTAAGCCTCCACATGGTTTTTATAATTAGTACGATTAGACCATTGTGAAGAATATCCACTCTCCGGACGAGTCACTTAATGCAAAATCTAGTTAAAATAAGAAAGTGGTAGCAAACATATGACTAAAAAGTTTTTTTATTTATGAATATTATTGGTTTGTCTTATTCACTTGTCAACCACTACAGATTCAATCCTCAAATACATATGATGAATTTCTCTCAATTACTTTTATAAAAGGTTTTGGGTTCATGCGCACAACTGGTTCACTTTTTAAATAGTCTGCGCGAACTACTTATAAATGACCGTGTGGAGGCTTTTCAATGTAGGAGGTGATGGTTAAGCAACGGAAATAATTTCTAATGAAACTTTAATTTCAAAAAACATATTTCAAATGCATAATTTCAAATCAAAATTTAACTAGTGCTATTCATTTGGCAAACTGGAACTGAATTTACAGAGCTACTACTATCTGGAATTTTTCTTCTTCTAAATAGTAGAAAAATTAAGAAAAGCATAATCGATGTTTTATATTGTTTTATCTGCCATACAATTTTAAATTCTGAGGCCATCCTGATTCTCTGCGAATTGTATGTAGGTGCCAAACCTGATAAATGGTATTCTGATGCTCAAGTGAAAGCATAGTTTAAATATTTTTAGAAACTTTGAAAAACCGAAGCCACCACTTTTTGACTTTTTCCAGTTAGTAGCAACCCTGATTTATTACCTAATACAATCATATTAATTCATACCTGTTCGGATATTTCTGAACAAAGACATTGTCAAAAGGAGACTCAACCAAAGTTTCCGTGTTGTTACTACTCTCGGTAATTGCTACTGGCATTTCCGTAGTCGTGGTGGTTGTCGTTCTTGGTAAAGGCGGACAAGGTTTCAAATTGCATTTCTTGACTGCTTTTGGCCTAGTCTTAAGGCACTTTGAAGGTGGCAGTTGAATTGCTTGGTTGAGAGGTGCCAGGATTTTTTCGCAATGCAGTTTTCGTGTTTGGAAACCTCCATCACAGCTTCTTGAACACTGAAAATTTATTGATTTTGTATGCCCGTGATGGCTTGTCTAGATTTATAATTTTTCAATGCTTGTGAAAAATGAGATTAAGCGGGGGAAGAACAGAAACGCTATTGAAATCTGTCGAATTACTAGAAAGGAAGGAGATATGGAAAAAAAATTGATTGCGTAATCAAACTGGGATGCGTTTATGCTAATCTCTTTTTCTTTGGCAATCAAATAGGTTTTTCATGTTTTTTAGTTCCACCTTCTCCCTCAATAGTGATTTGCTAGATTTTAATAGCATACCTGACACCTTTTACAGGCTTTAAAAAAAGATTTTCAGCAGTGGTGTGAAATTACTAGTGTAGGTATAAATATATGAGCTTTCATGCTAGCTCCTTTGATGTACGTTTAAATTATTTAAATTTAGTGATCGTTAAAAGTATACTTAACCAAATTTGTAAAAGCAGGAATTAAGCAAATTTTGCTGCCCTGAAAAAAGTTGGCATATATGAAATTGAGTTTTTTTTCCCCTAAAGAAAAAAATGCAACTCGATTGAAGTTGCAAATGAGATTTTTTTTCTCCAGTAATAATCAGCCGCTGAAGAAACTTAGAAATTTAAAAAGTAAAATAAATAAATAACGAATTAATTTTTTATTTACAATTTTAGAAAATTGCTTAGATTATTAGAAAAATAGAAATTTTTTATAACAACATTTAATTTTTTTAAGTCAATTATTTAATGTTGTAACAGGGTTTTTGCTTTTTAATTAATTTTAAAGGAAAAAAAAAACGTATCAAAAAGTACTTTTTTAAAGCTTGAGTATATTTTTATTGTCACAGCTTTTCTTAAAACCATTTCCGCAATATTTTTGGAAGTAGTATAGATACAACAACGCCTATATCATTAAAGTATTGCCGCGCACTTTCCATTTGACGATCGCGCTCAAGGACATATTTTTTTTTCACTTTTTCATGACTGCCATATGAAATTGAACGCCAGTCTTATGTCTGAAAGTGAAAATTAGCACATTTTGTCACGGTTTTTCCATGAAAACTCTCGACGGCTGTAACCGTTATTTGCTCGATCATCTAGATATTTTTTTCTCTTTCCAAACAAACAAAAAACAATTGATATGTGAACAGAAATGCTACATCTTTTTTTCCCGATGTATTTCTGAATAATTAGCCAATAAATGCTCTAGTACTCTACGTACTAATCATGTTCAATCCCTTTTTTATTAACACATAGGTGACCGGCAACTTTTCTGAAAATTTATTCATGTGCCCGGCTATTGTTTTTGAAAGCGGATGTGGAAGTAAAACAATATAAATAAACATTAAAAATTATTAATGCCGTATGATAAAAGGTTAACAATTACTTATGCGTAATGGTACACCACAAATTTTGCAAATTTATCATATTTCGTAAAGTTATAATAAATTGGTACAGAATTAAATAGTAAAACTTGAAAAGTAAGGAAAATTATGCCCACTTTTTAAAATAGCCACCACGAGATCACTGCTAACGAAAACACGAGTTAACTCGTAACCGGTCACCAACGTTTCGCCACGAAAACACGAGTTAACTCGTGACCGGTCAGCAATGTGTTAATTAAAATGCGCAGGACCATGCCTACGGGTCACGAAAATTTTTGTGACTGTCATTCCAAATTCAAAGACTTTTGAGCTATTTTTCAATATATAATTAATGAAATGAAACTGATATTGATCAATAGAAATCAGTTTTTTAATAGAAGTGGTTATTAACACATCCACAATAAGATATTTTTGCTTGTTCAACACGGTAGCCGCTTAGAGGATAGATTTATACTGCCGTTCATTAGAAAAGTCATGAGAATTGGCATTTTTGTGTGACAAACTACCTAACCTTTTTTTTTTTCAAATTTTTTTTTTTTGCTATATCAGTTTTTTAAATACTATTTATTGCTTATAGCATTATTAAAAAAAATATAGTTGCCATGCCACTTTTCTCGAAATCTTACGTGAAACACGTTGTTTTATAATTTCAATAACCGTCATTTGTCTAAATATTGCCCAAAAGCAGACGTTTATTCAATTGCGTCAACGTGTGAAATATATAGATTTTTTTGATACTCAACAAACTTTGAAAATAGATAGGTACAGCATTACAAAAACAAATCTTTTCTAGTGAAAAACAACGAGTTATATACCATGGCTATTACAAGAGCTCCTTTTTATCCAGTAAATCAAAAACAAACAAAAAAAATGACTGAGATACCAAATAAGATCCCTATATTGCTTATTAATTGAAAAATCCTGCTCATTAAATGTCGATGGCATTTTACGCTGCCCCAAGCTAATTATTAAAGTATTAAGTACTTCATATTCTGCCTGATATTTTTTAAACTTAATACGATCAACCAATATACCTTTATTCTATTTCGAAAACGTATGGTAAATTACTCAATTAAACGCAATTTTTTAAGGATTAATTGCAATAAACCTTTGATAAGGCTGTTTAACATAAGCCTTTACTACTCTAGGCTTACTGAAAACTGCCTGAAACAAATCAAGTCAATTGAGCAATAAATGATACGTTTTCTAATTAGCTTAAAGATGGGTTCACCGCAATAAGCTAAGAGAATGCAAGGTTGTTTAGAAAATGCTGGAGAATTTTGCAATTAGTCTAACGATGGCTGTTAGCAAAAACTGGATAACTCAATTAGAGTACGGTATTCGAATTTACCATCTGATTACAACGTAAACAAAATTTACTTTGCTCCAGGATTCAGCCTTCCATGCTGGTGGACAATCAAACACATTGCATGTGTCAGAAGTTTTTGGTGGCTGGCCAGGACATCGAGTTGAAGACGTTTCTTCACCATCTTTCAGCGATATGCATTTAATTTGTCGTGTTTTCAAACCACCTCCACATTCTTGAGAACAGTTTCCAAACTCTGACACATCCCATCGGTAACTATAAAGTAGGCAAAAAAAAAAAACGTAATTATTTAAGAGAATAAAAATGATTTGGTGACGCAAAAATAGTTTAAGAGTTCTAGGAAAACTGTAAAAAAAGAACAGTTTATTTCTCTTTATGGAAGAAATAAATCAGTGCCTTAAAAATTTTAAAAACTCTAAGGTAACAAGAAGAAGACTACTCTCCCTCATTAAATGCATTTCCGTTTAGGATTATCATGTTGAATGCCATGGAGGTCCCCAGTGACCGGCACTGAGTTTGTTCATAGCACTACGGGGGTCACTGGTGTCCAGCGAATCCAAGATTATTAGAAACACATAATTCGAGTAAATTTTTAATTTTTTATATTATTAACGTTACTAAAATGGTTTGAAGAAATTAATACAATATAGAACACACAAAAATAGTTTTATTTATATAAACAGAGATGCCAATTTGCTCCGGACAGCGAATAAATATTTTCAAGTAGTAGTTTATTAATTGTGATTCTTGGTTTAGTAAACTCAATTTAGTAGATTTTTATCCGCCACTATTTCTTAACAATTCGCAGGCTTATATAATTCACCACTTTTTTCGAAGGTGATATGCTAAACCTCTTAAAAAACTAAAAAAATCTGTCTAATATTTGCAAATTTAGTTTATAGTTATTTACCGTTTGGCCAGACGGGCAAGTCATGCAAACCTCTTAAAAAACTAGCAAAATCTGTCGAATATTTGCAAATTTAGTTTGTAGTTATTTACCGTTTGGCCAGACGGGCAAGGGATAAAATATTAACTTAAAAGGAGAAAAGTATTTAAGAAAATTTACTACCACTATTATATTTTTTAAGACTCAAGGAAACTCAATAAATAAAACAGAACATGGTTGAAATTTTGTATTATAATAGCAGGCAACATGTAAGGTCAAGGAGGGAAAAAAATTTCTCGATGGTGACAACTTTATTGTTTTCATAAATCTTGGTTTTCAACGTCTCAAAATAAATAAAATGAATAAATAAAAATAAATAAATAAAAATAAATGAAAGTAAATAAATAAATGAAAAAAAAATTATGAAACAAATAAATAAGTTAACCCTTTTGAAGGCCGTGGTAAGTATACTTACCAAAACGTTTTAGCACTTTTAATTTAGGTTTCCATTTTTCAATAACTTCAGCTTTCTTGAAGTGAGTTTGAATAAAATTGGTAACCATTTGTCACTTTTAAAAAACGTATAAGAGTTATAAAATACATAATTCCTTTTGAAGTTTGTAGCATTTAAGGAATTTATTTTATAAATAAAGAAAAATAAAAGTCAGTAAGTTCCTAATAGGTCATGTTAAATATATTTACTACCAAAAAAATGGCATTTTTATAAACTAAATGAGTT